CTGGGAGGAATTGAAAGAAGAAGAGCCTGGAGAGGGAGAGAGAGAGAGAAAAAGAACGAGCCAGTGCAGCGTGTGTCTGATCAGCTTGCAAGCGTATAACGGCATCTACCATCCGTCCTGTCTCGTCTTTCTCTAATTTTTTTCCCCTTTTGTCACCATTCAATGACGTAGCAGCAGCAGCAGCAGCAGTGTGTCAGTGATGTCGGCTATGTCTTCCAAAAAGTACAATTTTCAGTAAATCTGAGACTGTGTCTCTGTAATTGTCTGGTAGTTTGGCCTGTCTGTCTAGCTAGCTATTGAGACAAGGATACTTGTCTACCTCAAGTTTGGCTGATGCTATTTCTGATGCTATTAATGTTGATAGTGCTGCATCAATGCCCGACCTTTTTTCTATCGCCGCTATCATTTATCACTACCATCACTTCATGTCATTGATCAATGGCACTTTGCATGAGTAATTTGGCTTTGGGAGACTTCAGCAGCCGCTAGCATAAGTGCTGGTGATGGTTGTAGTAATCGGAATTGGTCGTCATCTTTCTCTTTCTCTTTCTCTGTTGCTTAGGTTCAGTAACAGTGGCCCTTCAGTGCACTGCCGAAGCACCACATTTGGCTGCTGCTACTGCTGAGCAAAGTGCACACACAAGGACTCATGAGTTGACACTCGAACGATCACATTTACTGTCTATTCCAAATTACATGCTCAATTGCCATCCTCGTTCTTTCACTTTCTCCCCCAGTGTGTCTTTTTCCCCCTTTTTTGTTAATTACTTGTTGCTGGAAAACGCTGCTGCTCTGTTGCCGTCGCTCTGTCGACCATCACAGCAACAGCAGCAACAGCAGCAACAGCGGCAACAGGATGACCTGCCTGGTGTAAGTGAGTGCCCATTAGAAGAGTGCTGCTCGGGCAAGTTGCAGTGCTCGTCGAGGCAACTACAGGCAAGAACTGAAAGCAGCGGCAGTGGCGGCTAATGTATTTTAAAAGCAGGCAGCGAGAAAAGAAAAGGGCTGAAGACTCGTGATGATTCCTAAAATTGAAGTTTTTTTTCGAATCAAATCCCAGACGGCAGGCCAATCTATTCTGATCGTCAGCAGCAGCAGCTATCGACTGATGTTCAATAAGTGCCATTTTTCTGAGCAGTGACAGTTGGCATTTATTGGCATATTAAATGCAGTTAACAGGGATGACGACTGACTGGAGTGCTCTCTTTCTTTCTTTTGCCTTCTTGCTTGTGAGCACTTCTCTCTCCATAATCAGATCAGATTTACACGCATCTTTTATCAAAGCTGTGCATCATCTTGAAACAATCGAAGTACTATTGAAGCGACAGACCAACTGATGATTTGATGAGTCGCCACTTTAATTTTGGCCCTTTCTCTTTCACTTAACCCTATCACGCTGGTGTCGTTGCAAGGTAGCTGCTGCTGCTGCCAATCAGAGGAAAGCAGTGTTCTCTCTTCTCTTGAAAATGAGTTTTAGAAAGCAGTTTTCATGGAAAAGCGCAGTGCGAGACAAAGGAGACTGGCACTGCCACTCTTTTGATTCGCATAGCACAGGTGAACAGCCACCTAGGCAACCACTAACTCTAAACAGGGAAGAGAAAGAGGGAGAGAGTTTCAGTGAGTCGGAACCGCCTGATTGCTGCCACCACAACACCTGGCAGAACCTTGCAGCTAAGGAAAAAGAGGCACCGAACATGACGAGTCACTTGACTGTGTGTTGCCTTGACTTGCCTCTGTTGCTGGTCGCTGGCAGGCCTGGCAACCCTTGCCACCACCGACCAGCAACTTACTTTCTCAAGATTTATAGCTTGAAAGAAAGAAAGAGAGAGAAAGAGAGAGAGAGAGAGAGAGAGAGAGAGAGAGAGAGAGAGAGTGGTGCACTACCACCACCAGTCTCCATTAATTGGAAAGAGCAAAATGCGGGGTAAAGTACCACCACACTATCATACCATCACAAGTGCAGGCGATGCCAGCAAGCGAAACTCTTTCTAGCTAATTTCTAATTAGCCATCATATCGTTCCTTTGTCGTTCTTCTGTGCCCTTTCTCTGAAAAGGGAATCGGTGAACTCGGTCCCACAGCAAAGACTCGTTCTCATACACACACTTAGGCAAACGCAAGTGGACATCAGTCCATGATGTCATTGGACTTGTGTGCTGTGTGTGAGTCCTTGAGCTCAAATCTCTGCCACCGTGACAATTAGCAGCATCAATAGCTGAAGTTGCAGCAGCAGTAGCAACAGCAGCTGCACAGAAAGACCTGACCAGTCATAGGAACTAAGAGGGAGAGTGTTCATCATATGCCCAAAGATTTGTCTTTTGCAGAGTCACAAGTGATGCAATTGTGCCTATGTGTGTGTGTGTTTTTGCAAGTCATTGGACATTTGTCAGAGAGGTTTCAGAGAAATTTTGAGTTCTAGAGTTCAAGAAGAAGGAAGCTGAATGGTAGTGTGGGAGCCAGTGTTAGAATGCACTATTTTTGTCAAGTGAACAAAAGAAGCAGAAACCGAAAGTGTGCGTAGTGAGGATGCAGTGAAAAAGTATAATGATTGACCCAAAAAAATTATTGATCAAATGGCATACAAAAGTGATCAGTAAAAGTGACCAACACGACAGCAGCAGCAGCAGCAGTACAAGTCATAACTGATGATGCTGGTGATGTGTGGCATGTAATCATCATGATAGAAGATTCAAAGTAAATGGAATGCAGGTTATAATTTCTTCTTTTTCTTCTGTTTTTCTGCATCTTTTTCTGCTGTTGCCGTTTATTTAGCAGTTTGACCCTGCAGCAGCGAGTGACTCCTGAAAGGTCTTGCCTGCGCGGGCCAAATGTCAAAGTCGCCTATAAGAAAGCAGCCACTTTATTCCCAAAAAGTGCGACTTTTGAAGAAATGCTGCTGTGCCTGTTCAAACGTCTCAATCTTAAAACATATCTCCTAATCCACAATTTACCTTTTAGTCAATTCTCAACTTAAAAGAAGTCCACTTTAGTACTTCACAATACTTCAGTACTTCACCTCTCTTTTTAAACGCAGTCATTTTTTGCACAATGAATGATGCAAGTGATGCAAAAAGCAAAAACACTCCCCAAAGTAAGATGCCTCTTTAGCAAACACGATCATCAAGATCAGTGTGATAAACTACAAACGACCAAAAACGATCATACATTTGGGAGAAGAAAAAAATGTCACTGGCACTGCCAATTCGACAGGAGAAGACATTCGCCAAATTAGAAAAGCAGTCTACTGAAGTAGAGTCGCCATCTGCATGTGCTAAGCAGCAACAAAAGCAGGCTTCCCAAGTGCACACACTGATGGACAGTGAAAACCAAACAAAACACAAATAGAGAATCAATTCAACAATCCAAAACTACAACTGCCAGCTACAAAAAACTTAGCAAAATTATCAAAAAAGAAAAGAATTTATAGTGGAAATAATCGTAGTAGTGGTGGTCGTAGTCACAGAAAACAAGTAAGCGGAAAAAAGCACATTTTTGAAAATGCTAGAGAAATCCAAAGATGTTGAAGTGGTGTGGGTGTAATCAAATAAAGGAAGGTCGTTGAAATACTGTGAAAGTAGCAGTAAAAATGCTAATAGAAATTGTAAACACACACAAGTAATCAGTGTCAAGCACGAATGGAATCACAAACTATTCTCACGTAAGTTTGCCAGTCTTTTCAAAAGGCGAAAAGGAACAAAAAGTAGTTCACTTTGTTCTGGTCGGTTCACCTCTTCTTCAGCAGTGTACGGTCGAAAGGTGAAAACGACATTGTTCTTTGGAATGGCTCCATCTGAGCTTTCACACATTCGCCACGTCATAACGCCCAACTTCCACTCCTCTTCTTCGTTTTCCTTTGTCTCCTTTGTCTTGGTCGTCTGCAGTTCCATCTGCGTCTGTGGAATCTCCGCGAGCAGCTCGTAGAGCAGCGCCTCCTCCTCCTCGGTGAAGCATCTCTCGGTGTGCCCTTCCTCCCTGGCNAGCTTTAACATGTAGGCGGTCACCCTGCTGAAGGTCACATCGGCGAACTTCAGCACCTTAAAGACGGCCGACCACAGGTTCAGTTGGCCCTCTGCCTCTGCCTGATTGGGATCAGCGTTCAGCGAAAGCAGGAGCAGCCGTTGGTAGAAGGCGGCCACTTTTGCCAGATATCGATTCTCAATAGCGTCAAACAGGTGGTCGTTGAACTTTTTCGCCTTCTTTTCCTCCTCCTCTTCCTCCTCTTCATCCTCCTCTTCCTCTTCATTCTCCTCCTCCTCCTCCTCCTTTTCCTCCTCCTCCTCCTCCTCCAAATCCTCCTCCTCCGAATCTTCTTTCTCCGAGTCCTCCTCGTAGTCATTTGCATCCAGTTCTTCGGAATCAGAATCTTCTTCAGATTCTTCATCCTCATCCTCCTCTCCCAGATTTTCCTTTTGATCCAGTTTCTCTTCTTTTGGTTCTTCTGGTTCTTTCAACAGCTGCCGCAGTCGCCACCGACGGTAGGCGCAGCCTATCTGGTCAGCAGCGGAAATTCCAGGCAGTAAACCGGTGTTGCGGACCTCCTCTAAGACCGCGAATAACTCGGAGACTTGCTCTTTGCTGAACTTGTCACTGCCGAGTCCTGCAATAGAGAAAAAAAGTGTGAATGAATGAAGGGGAATAGAGGTAAAAATAGAAAGAAGTATTAGTGATTGATTCGTTCACAAAAAGTTGGAAAGATGCATCTTGACTTACGTTTTTCGGTTGCCTTCTGCTTTTGTCGGGCAGCAGCAGCAACATCTTTTGAAGCGGTTTTAGTGGAAGGAAGCTTTTTGACTGGGTCGGTTTTGGCTGATGACAATGCTGATGATGATGATGTTGCTGCTGCTGCTGTTGCTGTTGCTGCTGATGATGATGATGAAGTTGAAAGAGCAGTGTTGCTAAAGCCATTAACTGAAGCTGCCATTGCTATTTTTATATTTGCAAGTAGTGCGACAAAGGATTCGGAAACTGAAGCTAATTCTGGAGATGCTGCTGCTGATGCGGAAACTTTTAAAGGTGAAACTTTTGAAGCCTGAGCTGCAAGAAGAGTTTTTAGAGTTTTTAGAGTTTTTAGAGCAGCTGATGTTGTATCTGGAAGCGCTGGAGCTGGAGCTTTTGAAGTTGAAACTTTTGAGCCTTTCTTCGCATCTAAATCGGCCAACATCGCCTCCACGTAAGTCACGAAAAAGCTTAGCTCATTAAACACCTCCGTTGATATGTTCGGCTCTGGCTCCTCCTTGGAGCTGACGGCGTCGGCGGCGGCGGCGGCTGAAGGGACTACTTTCGTCTTCTCTAATTCTGAATTTTCATGGCTAGAGGAAGCGGAAGTGGAAGCAGACGTGCTGATCATGGCCTCCTCCTCCTTCTCCTGATCACCACCACCGCCACCACCGATCATCGTGGAAGAGGACGCCGGGTCGAGGACAAAGCCTCCTCCGCCGCTGTTGTTGGGGTCCTTTTTGATGACCAGCTGAACCGACGACGACGACGACGAGTCATTGAGGTGCGAGAAGACGTTCTCCTTCTCGCTCTTTGCCTTTTCCTCGCACATTTGATTGTCCTTCATAGAGGAAAAGCACGCCTTCTCGTCAGAAGTCTTGGTGGAGCCCTTTTTAGCGTCTGAAAAGAAGAAGAAGAAAAGCGTTAGAGCGTAGAGTTCAAAACAATATAGCAAAAATCCTCAAAAAGAGTCTTTTTTGAGGATTTCATTCTTTACAAACCACTTTGTTTGTTACCTTTCGAAGAAGAAGAAGAAAAAGACGGCAAAGACGAAGATAATACTGAAGAGGAAGCTGCGAAAGAAGAAAATGAAGACGGCGAAGACGAAGATAATACTGAAGAGGAAGCTGCGAAAGAAGAAGATGAAGATGAGGAAGATGAAGAGGAGAACAAGGTTTCCGCCAGCTGCTTTCCGCCTTTACTTCCGGTCTGTTGAACATCTGCCGTCCACATGGGCGGCGCCGTCGTCCACCGCTGATCAGGTCGCACCTTGGGCGGGCGGTTATCACCGGCCAGCGCCCGCTTCATGTACCCCGCCAGGTCGCCTTCGTCCTCGTCGTCCTGGTGGTCCTCGACGAGGCCCCTCGTCGGCAGGGTGATCATCAGCGCCTCGCTGCCGCCGCCGCCCAGGCTCGCCTGCGAAATCATCTCCACCCACTTCTGCAGCGCCACCCGATAGGAGATCAAGTCGAGGCGGTAGGGTTTCGTCGCCTCGTTTACCAGCGCCAGCACCTGCTCCACGTCGGTGACCTTCCAGGTCAAGCTGCTGCTGCTAGAACCGGAACCGGAAGCGGAAGCAGAAGCGGCCTTCTTTTTTCCTTTCTTTTTGTTTGCCGCCTCCTTCTTCGAGAGCGGCAGCAGCGGGCGGATCAGCTGGGCCGTCTCTTGCGGCGCAAAGTAGTTGATAGCTTCGATGAGCCGGAGCTCGGCGGCCAGCTGCCGCAGTTCGGGCTCGGGCGACTTTGCCAGGTCGCCGGAAATGGAAGGGGGCGTCAGCTCTGGTTGCAAGTCGTTCCGGCAGAAGATCACCGCGTAGAGGTGGTAGCAGTGGGCGCTCAGCGCCTCCCGGCCGAGCACCTTCTCGAAGACGGCGTTCAGCATGTTCGCGGCGACGATCTGCCGACCTAGTTCGACGACGGAGCGACGGCGCTCGCCGACGTCGTACCGCCCCCAGGAGTTGAAACCCAGCAGGTGGCCGGTGGCCAGCGCGTTCAGCCGCGCCCAGTAGTGGTCGCTGAAGAGGGCCCGGTCGGCGAAGAAGCGCTCCACGTGGCCCTCCAGGTCGATCATCAGCTCGGCGGGGAAATAGTCCTTGAAGCGGGCGAATAGGTCTATGGGAGGTTTTGGGATTGGTGGTGGTGGTGGTGGTGGTGGAGGTGATGGCTGATCACTTTCAGAACTGTTTGATTTGCTCTGATTTGAAGCAGAAGAAGGAGGTTGCTTCGCCGTCGTCGTCGTCTTCTTCTTCTTCTTGTTGTTGTGGTGGTGGTGGGACTTTTTACCCTTGCGTGCCATTGTCCTAGCTGGTAGTTGTGGTGGTGGTGATAGTGGTGGTGATAGTGGTGGTGATATTGGGGTGGTAATGTCAGTGTGTCTGTTGACAAGAAGATTCGCCGAAGATATCAGATCGAGATTTGCTGGTGGCGGTTGAGCTGTTGTTGTTGTTGTTCTGCTAGCGCTACTTTTGCCGCTGCCGTCGACTCTGCACAAAAGCTGCCCCTGCCAAAGCAGACAGCCGAAGAAGAAGCACAGGCAGAAAAAGGCACAGGCGCACGCACGTGAGCGATGGCACGTTGCTGCCAGCGATGGCTCCGTCGACTGCAGTGGCCGCCTTTGCGCACAGCACCGAAAGTGTACTCGATGGAAATAGGTGACTCGCACGCAAATGCAGTACTTCAGTAAAGAGAATAACAGGCGCGCGCGCTAAAGGAGCGCTTGAAAGTGCTGCTGCTGCTGCCAAATGAAATAAGATAATGCGCAGCACAAAAGTAGAGCAATGTGATTTGACCATTCGGAACTTAATGAATTTGGAACTTCTACTATTATTACTACTACTATTTATTAAATTGGCTACTCTCGGTTTGGCTGCTGCTGTTGCTGCTGCCAGACAATTGGCAAAAGAAAAACAGGCAATCTAAAGCAGGGTCACTTCTCTCTCTCTCTCTCTCTCTCTCTCTCTCTCTCTCTCTCTCTCTCTTTCTCTGCTGTGGCCACCTATTACCAATCAGAAAGACAGACAGACAATCACATAAATACTGGCAGATAAAGCTGCTAATAATAGTCTTGCCATTGGCTAGAAAGAAAACAGGAGTAAAAAGAAAAAAGAGATAAAGCTGTTGTAGCTCTCTAATTGGCATTGAGTGCATGCATGCCAATTCAGCTGCTGCTGCAACTTAAACTCATAAATTATGATCACTGGAGATGTTCACCTCTGAATGACTGAAACTGAGGTTGCAGCTGCAGAATTGGCCTGGCCAACTTTAAAACAAAGGGCAGCTTTAAAGATGAAGAGGCAAAATGATCAATAGGAATAATAAAAACCTCTTTTACCCTCGTTTGACTGTAAAACACGTTTGATCTCCCCCTCATAAATTGTCCTTTTTACTGTGCATTTGGAGGTGTGTGTGTTTGCTTGCTGATCGTTTTGGCAAACACTTGGCAAAACGTGTCAAAACTAATCCGGCGACTGCCTGTGGTCTACCTACCTGCCTGCCTACCTGCCTGACTGCTTTTTTTTCCTGTTCAACCCAAATCTCTTTCTTCATGCTAATTAAGTGTTAACCAGTGTGCACAGACCAGTGCAAAAACCAGTGGTGAGCAGCATCAGTGCCAATGTGCCAGCAAAACCAGCAGCAGCAGTCAGAGCCACGTCAGCTTAGCTCGACAGTTTCAGTGGAAACTGTGTGGGCCGTTTGATCTCCTCTTTTCCTCTACCTGATTCACCTCACCGCAAATTCCACTACAGCACACATCAGGTACAGCAGGCACAAAGTACCCCGCCGAAAGATGACTCACCACTCAGAACAACATTTCCTCTGATGTTCTCGGCAAAAGTTTGAGCTTGAGAGGAAACCTTAGGGGGGAAAAAATAAGCTCTTTCAAAGAACAGAAAAAAGCGAGATGAGCAATGACGCACGGTGCTCTATCACCACCACCACTACGGACAAACGAACAGACGGAAACGACTTTGCATGTTCCCCCTGCTTCTTTTTTTCCCTCTTCTTTCTCCTACAGCAACAAATGTGCGCAGTGTGTCCTCTCCTTCTTTTGTGCTAGTACCCCACTGGTCACTAGACCGCCATCACCCTCCTCACCATCACCGTCATCATCTTCACTGTAATATTCAGCTGTACCACTACTCTACTTTGTCCCAGTTAGTGTTTCCCACCACCATCATTTTCATCCCATTGGCTGATTCTCTCTACTCCACTACTTTTCCCCCTCTCATTTTCGCTCTCCTTTCTCTGCTTCTTTTTTTTGTGCGATCAAGCTTTCCGCTGCTTTCTGCTGCCTTCTGCTCTTGACATTAAGATTAAATCTAGCGGTGGCGCGTTCGCTCGCTTGCGCGCGCGTTTTTTGCCACTTTCGCCTACGCACATTTTCACTCCTCGGTTCTTTCTTCTCCTTTTCCATTTCCATTGCCAGTGCTTTCTTTTGTCTCAAAACGCTAGATTTTTCTCAGTTTCCCAGTTGCGCCGAATCCTCTCTCTTGTTCGCTCGTTCACTTGGCGGCCACTTTTTATTATTCCATCGCTTGTTCGAAAAAAGGGGGGCGAAAGTAAAAATAAACGGCAGCTGCTGCTGATCCAGTTTCCTCAAGCAAACAGTACTGTGCCCTGTGTCTTCACTCACTCACTCATTGTGTGTCAGTTGTCAGTGTGTCGACACGCCAGATCACCAGCACAAGCTCTGCTTTACTTTCACTTTTTTTCTAGTCGTCATTCTATTGTGTTTCGGTGCTTATCAGTACTTCTTCCTCCTCTTCTCCTGGGCAAAACAATGGGCAACACGGTTTCAAAGTGCGTCTCGGCGAACTCCGTCACCGCCACCAGCGCCACCAGCCCTAAAGTCAACAACAACAACAACAACAATCAGCACAACAACAACAGCAACAGCAACTCCAGCAACTCTTGGCAGGGCTTCGATGACAGCGACTTTCCGCCGGAGTTGCTCCAGCGCATGAAAGCGCTCAAGGCGAAAAGTCGCAAGAAGCGGTGCCGGCGCTGGAAAACCGAAGCCGAAGCGGCCGAGAACGGCGGCGAAAAGCCTTCAACTTTCGCCAACTCCGTCTGGTCGTGGGCCTCGGCATTCACCTCCTCGTCCTCCAATTCTAATTCTTCTTCATCTTCATCGAACTCGGCTCCCATCGGACAGAGGTACTCCCTGAGCTCTCAGTCAATTCATCCGATTCACGAGGAGGAAGAAGATGAGAATGATGATTCGCCGCGCCAGGTGGCCGCCTACGACGGACCGGAAGATCGTCCGGTGGATGAGATTTTGGTGGCGCTGGTTCCGCACAACCTCGAGGACCTTCTTCTGGGTGGAGGCAATCCAGGTCAGGATCAGGATCAGGATCAGGATCAGAATCAAGATCAGGGCGAGAATGATCACGGTAAGGCGTTCGACTGTGTTTCGATCACCTTCAAGGATGATGTTGAAAAAGGCGACGGCGGTAACTGTTGTGGCTTCAGCAAGGCATCGGCAAGTGTCTCCGGCAAAAAGCCGTCAAAGCTGACAACTATCACCAAAAAGAATGGCCAGCGTCCCTGCGAGGCGATCATTTGGCTTACCGGTAAGTATAATAAGTGCCATATTTGAAATATGATTAGTTATCATCACCACTAAAAACTATTTCTTTTCTTTTCAGACAACACCTCTTCCCCTAATTATCAGGGGAATCACGACTATTCGGATATTGACGAGGAGGATGAACTGGAGAATGAAAGTGAAAATCAGGGAAATCAGTTCGCCGATGATCCTCGCTTCACCACCTTCCTCCTGAAAGTCATCGACAGTGACCGCCTGCCGGTGATGCTCTTCGAGGTGCAGGAGCTGGACGAAGCCCTGATGGCCTCCTTTCCCGAGGATCTGGTTGACGAGGATGAAGGTGAGGGTGAAGGTGAAGGTGATCATAAACCTCGTCACCCTCGCCGTCACCACCACTGCCGCGACAAGGACCACTACGGCATTCCGGTGTCGGCCTTCGTCAAGGTCTTGCTCACCGAGGAAGAGGGCGACGGCAATCCTCGCCACTTTCAGGCGAACTCCGGCTTACTCGCCTCCGCCACCACCGGCCAGCTGCTGAAGGTTCGCCTCGCCGATGAGGCCTACTTTCTCTCCTACGACTTCGTGAAACCGATGCGCAAGAAAAAGAAGAATCAGGATTTAAATCCGCTAGAAAAGAAGGAACGGGAGAACTACTATGAGAAAGTTGTT